GGCGCGTGGCGGGCCGGCGCGGACGCGGCCGTGGCCGTGGAGGGCGACGGCGATTACGTGTTTGTCGCGCGCCCGCCCGGCGCCGCCGCGGACGCCGCCGCCGCCGCGTCGGCCGCGGCTGCGCTCCGCGTCGGCGCGTGGCCCGACACCTGGGGCGTGGTGGCCGTGTCCGTCGACACGACCCCGCCGCGCGTCAACATCACGTCGCGGCCGGCCGCGCTGCAGAGCAGCCCGGGCGTCGAGGTGCGGTTCTCATCCACGCCCCCCGGTGACGCCGACGAGTTCGCCTGCCGCTGGCTGGGCTCCCCGACGGCGCCGCCCGACCCTGCAGCCCTGGAGCCGCCCTTCGGGCCCTGCGAGGGCCCCGGGCCGGGGTCGGCGCGGGCCAACGTGACAGAGGGCTTCTGGTTGTTCCAGGTCCGAGCAACCGACGCGGCTGGCAACGTTGGCGAGCCCGCGAACGTGGCCTTCCGGACCGACCTGTCTCCCCCGCGCCTGGATTCGATTGCGTTCCCCAACGCGACGAATTCGCCTCACGTCACGATTTCGTTTGAATTGAGCGACGGCCCGTCCGGCAGCGGCGTCAAGAACGTGACGTGCCGGATGGCGCTCGCCGCCGAGGCGCCGGGCGGGCCGGGGCAGGCGCCGGCGGGCGCACCGGCGGCGCCGGCGGGCGCCCGCAAGGCGGACGGGGAGTGGGGCGCATGCAAGAGCCCGATCAGGTGCGATTGGCATGGGGGCCGTGCGCAGCGCTCTCTCTTGCGCGCAAACGAGCACGCGCGCGTGTGTGTGTGTGTGTGTGTGTGTGTGTGTGTGTGTGTGTGTGTGTGTGTGTGTGTGTCGCAGTGGTGGCCGCGTGACTGGGTGCTGGCGGGCAATACCTCGCCAGATCAGACGAACCCCTGTTCTCTCGGGGGGTCCTTAAATCCTTTCGGGCCCAGAAGCGAGTCGCTTCTCCCTTGTTAGACGACTCTCTGGCACCAGCCCCATCACCAAACCGATCCCCCGCTGCCCTCTCCGCCGCCACTCCCTGTCCCTCCCCTCTGCAGCTACCTGCTGCCAGCGGACGGCCGCTACCAATTCCAGATCATCGCCGCCGACGCGGCCGGCCTCCGCCTCGGCCCCCTCAGCTTCCAGGTCGTCCGTGACACGCAGCCGCCCTCCATGCGCGTCGCGACGCCGCCGCCGGCGCCGGGGCGCGCGCTGACGAGGCGCGTGGAGGTGCAGCTCGTGGGGCGGGACAGCATGTCAGGGATGAAGGCCGCTGACGTCATGCTGACTGCGGTGGGTGCTCCCCTGGGCGCCGCGCGGCCTGCGCCGATGGGGGTTGTAGCAGCAGGGTCTGGCAAACGGCCTGCGGTGGCTGAGCCGCTTGACGCGTGCTGGGGCATCCAGCCGGCGCAGCTGCCGCCTGGGGGGTTCGCCTGGCGGATCTGGGATTCTTTTGGTGAACAACTGCACGTTCGCAGACGCTGCGTCGCGCTGTTGGGCACCTTCGTGCTCCCCTGCCTGGGTGCCCCTCAACTCCTCTCTTCTCTCTGCAGGGCACATGCTTTGGAATGTGTGTCTGCCACTTGCTGCAATTGCGGCTGTCCTCCCACAATCCGCATCAATTTTGCTTGTGATGGCCCCCACAGGTCAACGACTCGCCCGCGCCCAGCGGCCAGGCCCTCGTCGGCGCCGGCACCGCCGCCGGCGCCCGCGACCGCCTGCAGTGGGCTCCCGGCGGCCGGCGCCGCGTCCTGGCGCGCGGCGGCCTCGAGCGGCGGCTGCTCGCCAACGCCTCTGCGCCCGCGGCGCCGCCGCCGCAGCAGCAGCAGCAGCTGGGGCGCGCGTACGTGCAGGGCACGAACCAACCCGTCGTCCTCTCCGCATGGCTGCGCTCCGCCCAGCCAACGTCGGTCACTCTTGAGGACCTGCCCAGCGGCAATTACTCCCTCCAGGCCCGCGGCATCGACGCGGCCGGCAACGTGGGGCCGCCCAGCGAGCCGTGGCGGTTCGTTGTCGACGCGACGCTCCCGCTGCCGGAGGAGATTGAGGCGCAGAGGAAGCGCGTGCTCGCGCTGGGGCTTGGGATTGGGCTGGGCGTCGGCGGGCTGCTGCTGCTGGCCGCGCTGCTGGCAGGGGCGTTTTACTGGCGCCGCGCCGCGGTCGCGCGGCGCGTCGAGCGGGAGCGGCGCGCGCGGCAGTGGCAGGGCTGGGGCGCGCCGCCGGCGGCGGG